CAAAAAAAAAAAAAAAAAAGAAATTTTCTGCTAGATAAGTAGAAAGAGAATTTTGACTTTTTAAATAATCCATTGTGGATATGTGTTCTAGTACATTTTGATTTGTATTAGTAAGATTGATATATAAAGACACAGAATCATGGGTACATTTGAAGCAAAATACTACCAACTTTGGAAGTAAACTGCTCTTACCCTGTAAGGTTTCTATTGCAAATCAACTATTCAGCACTTTTAGTTTAATTGTTGGTCTGTTTCTTCTCCAGTAACCCTGGAAGGCATTGAGTGATTTTTGACTGTATTCTTCAGATTGCTGAAAGTTGGTATAATATATATCTAGTTCAACATATGGGTTTTGCAGTCTTAGGGGAAAAAAAGGGGGCAAGAATAAGTTTTTGAACTAATTTCCTGTGATTTCAGTGAATTATACATATAGTTTAAAAATTCAGCTTTTTTTAAATGGCTGATACTTTTTTGCTCTGAATTTGCTTTGAAAATTGGTGAATTACTTGATGAATGAGATTGACTTCATAACAATGTCCTATTTTCTTCAGTTTATGTACCTAGAGTAAGCAAAACATTTTTTAGCAACTAGAATAGTTGACACCAAACTCCAGTGCTTCATGTCCTCTACTCATGGCCTATTGGTAACTTTATTTTATGTAGATTTGATGTTTGGTTCTGATAATTTGAGCTAGGAAGCATTGAATAAGTTGTTGAACCTCTCAAAGATTGTAGTTGTTTTGTAGATAAAAAGCAAAGTAATGCCAGCATTCAGATCTTGGTTTCATTACACTCTTTAATGGTTGAGGGCAGGAAATATACAAGATGAGTTTGGTGCATCTTGTAGCGTCAGAAAGTAAGGAAGTGCTCAAAAGTCAATATGGTAGGACTGTGTCAAAGGGGCTCAGGAACCAATTGAAAGAGCTTCTGGTGGCCAAAGCTGGAATGTTTTAAACAGCAAAATGAATAACATAGTATAGGACTATACCCCAAAGTATAACATGAATATCTATAAGTTCATGCTGAAATGAATGAATATATATATGTGTTTGTGTGTATATATATATATATATATATTTATTTATTTATATATATATATTTATTTATTTTTATATATATATATATATATATATATATATGAAAGAGACAATGGACAAATGTGCCATTAATTTATCTAGATAAGTCCCCTCAAGGAAGTAGAGAATTACTCGGTACTTCTAAAGTGTGGGCTCTGCACTGAATCAGAAAATTAGCGACGTCCTTCCAAAAAGTAGTGAAGAAACCTGACCTCAGCTAGATAATCCAGATTATTATCAACAATGATAAATTACGTTGATAACATGTGCCCTTGATAAGATGTATTGCGGTCTTTCTCCCCAAAATGTGTAACTACAGTCTAATGGTGAGAAAAACATCCGACAAAATACCTGACCAGTACTCTCAAAACTGTCAAAGGCATCAAAAAACAGGTCAATCTGAAGAGCCTAAAGAGACATAATGGTCAAATGTTATGTATCCTGGAAGGAATCCTAGGATCGAAAAAGGACATTTGGTAAAAACTAAGGAATTCTAGATAAAGTATGGACTTTCAATAAAATTATATCAATACTGTTTCATCAGTTTTCACAAATGTACCAACGTAACATAAGATGTTAATAGTAGGGAAACTGGGTGCATGGCATATGGAAATTCTCTGTAAAACTTTTCTGCAAATTTGAGTTTATTATAAAAATAAAAAGTTTATTCAGGCTGGGTATGGTGGCTCATACCTGTAATCCCAGTACTTTGGGAACCTGAGGCAGGAGAATCTCTTGAGTCCAGGAGGTCAAGACCAGCCTGGGCAATACAGTGAGACTCTATCTCTAGACTTTACAAAAAATGAAAAAATAGACATGGTGGCATGTGCCTGTAGTTCCAGCTGTTAGGGAGGCTGAGGCAGGAGGCTCACAGGAGCTTGAGTTTTGAGGCTGCAGCGAGCCATGATTGTGCCACTGCACTCTAGACTGGGTGACAGAGATGAGAAGACTGTCTTTAAAAAAGGAAGAACAAAACTTATTTTTAAAAATTGAATAGCAGCAATTTCATATGGCTCTATAATGTTACTTACAGGATTGTCATGAGAATTAAATGATATAGAATGTAAATCACTTTATACAGTGCCTGACTCAGGAAAAGTGCTCAATAGATGGTAGTTTTTTTTTTTCTAAATCTATAGTTTTATTAAGACAAAAACTGGCAATGTGATATGAAGTTTACATTTAAACAAAGTTTTCACAGAACCCTAATATATGCCTAAACGACTTTACAGTGTAGCTCTAGGTGCAGGTCTAGACAATACCAAGAGCTGATAGATCTCAGTACTCAAGACACAGAGAATTTTGGGTATCATTTAACTCTTAGGATTTTTTTTAAAAATGAGTTTTTGGGTTTTTTTTGTCTGTGTGTGTATTTTAAAGTGAACCACTGCCCAGTATGAAAATTTAACCATCTCCTGAGACCAAGGCTTTTGAAATAATTCAACCCTTGAATTAATTCAGTGAAACTTGGGCTATCGGTGACTGAACCCTGCCACCAATGATTTCAGAGTTCAACGTTCAATAAAGAGAGGCTCCAAGAGTTCTTCATCCTAAGAGCATGGGCCCTTGTCCTTTCTCACTCCCCTGTGCCACCCTCTTCCCCTTCCCCAACACCTCAGCCAGTGGCTTGGATGAACAAGCTGATATTTATAACTTCAGAACGGAAAAGAAAAGGTCTTCTTGCCTA